CGGCAGTCACATTAATCCCGAGTAACTTACTTTGCGACTGACTTCTTAATGTACAACAGCTCGGACTTATGGATCTGAACGGAATACAAAGTGCTTTCGAGGAGGCCTTCGACCACGCATCGCATGTAGGCGTCGATGGGGCACTTGAGCAACGCAATGAGCAGCCTATCATCCGCAGATGGATAGCTATGCTGTTAAATATACCAAGACTATTAAATCTGAAGTCGGGACAGCGTAGTACAACTTCAAACAACAGTGTGTTGCCCGCAGGGCAGAATGTTGTCTACTCTCCTGTGGAGTCTAGTTATGGCCGAACTTCTTCAGATACTCACTGACGTCCGGTAACAGGGGTACGCGGATGACATAGTGACGCATGTGGAGGCGGCCACCGCCAAGGCTACGAAAGCGCTGATGGTGTGCAAACGTTTAGCGGGAAAATCTTGGGGATGTATCGCAAGGATCCCAAGATGGACGTACACCAATAATAACCTATGGGGCAGTGCCTTCGGTTCCTGGATACGGGAAGGTTGCTCAGCACCAAAGTCTCAACGTCGGGCGTGTGTTTGCATCACAGGTGCTATGCGAACATGTCCGACGGTAGCCCTGGAGGTAATTAATGAACTCGAGCCACTTCATCTTACAGTTGAATAAGAGGCAAAGCGAGATCCCTCACCTCCCACATACTTTGTTGCCCAGAGACGATATACATGGAATCAGGGACGTGAACCGGATGAAAAATTTGGTCGGTTCGGTTCAGCGGATCTAACCGTTGTTGCACTTTTGGATTGTTTCGTCAAAACGTTTTTTTTTGGTCTTTGAACCGGGGTTTCGGTTCGGTTCAACCAAAAAATAACGCGCAAATTTAAGTGTCAAGTGCAACAACGCGCAAGGTAAAAAACATGGTAGGTATTACCATGTTTAACAAAAAGAAAAAAGTGGGTACATTTATCTATTGAAAATTTGTTTAAACGAACCTTTAAACCTTTAATGAAAGTGATTCGGTTTTCGGTTCGGATAAAACATTTGTGGAAAATTTCGGTTCGGTTAATGGTTCAGTTAATTAATAGAAAAAAGCGGGTTTCCGGTTCAAACCCGGTTCACGTCCCTGCATGGAATAGTAGTTTTCGAATGAAGCTTTGGGGTAATATATACAACAAGGCGTCTTGCAGTAATTCTACTAGGGGGAGACACAGATGGCTCTAAGGCCACTGAGGGTATTGTAGCAGGCGGACATGGCCCTAGACCGAAGCTTTCAGTGCGCTTGGGAACTTTCCCAAACATCTTCCAAGCCGTTGGTCTGTGCGCAGAGATTAAGCTTCGTAGGAATTATCGAAGCGTTAGTCAGAGGAACTTCAGGATCCCTCATCCTTCGAGGTCAAATCCTCATTGATCCTAGAGTGCATAAGGAAGTCGAAGGAAATGTGAAAGCCGATCAGTTGGCCAGAATGGCTGCTGCCTCAACTCCGATAAGATCTGAGATCTTGCTTGCGGTAGGTCCTAACATGATAAAGTAAGCGCTCAGAAAGGAAAATACCAAACTACGAGAACTGCATTGGCGAAACACCATGGCTTTTTGTCAAGCTAAGAGCGTACTAGGGCGGTATATTCTAAAGAGATACAGGCAACTCATAAACCTAGCCAAGGAAAGACCAAGAATTATTGCAGGTATACCGACGGGTCATTGTATGCTAAGAGGCCACTTTCCCAAGCGATCTGTCTCGCTTTCGCGACTCCGTCGAAGAGACATCACTGCACTTCCACCTGTAGTGTGAGACCGTTTCACGGAGACCAGTGTATTCGAGTTGAATTTGATGATTAAATTAATATATTTTTTTAATTCGTTATTTGGATTTCATCATACAAAATGTGCTAATTAATAGACCTACCTATCATCAGAAGCCGATAACTTCCAGCTGGGTAATATTATTAGATGTGAATGTATGTACGTATCTATGTGGAAATTAAATCAGGGAAATAGAAAAGCTTCCAAGTTAATAATACTATGCAATTAGTGTGAATTTATAATAATTGAAAATTAACCGAAAACGAAGAGCTAAAAACTTGCTGTTTTTTCTAATGACGCAGTCACATACTGAAGATAGATAGAGAGAGAGAACACCTAAAGTAGTTTCCATACATACACATGTACATACATACATACATATATGGGGAGAGCTACCTTTGACAATCTTGCTTAAAGATTTGCTTGTGCTCAACATTTTTGCGCTCTACCTGAGCGATCATCAACGCTGGCTATGAAGAATGAGTGCAGCTGGGGAGGATTAGGTCTTAACAAAACCAGCAGGAGTTGTGGCGTAATGCTTCGACGCAGGTAAATGACGTACATACATAGGTATGAGGGAAGACTGGGTGAATATACTCCTAATAAATACATTTGTAGGCACATTTGTTTGCCTTGTTTTGTATTGCAAATTTGAGGGTTCAGTTAAACAAGCAAATGCAAGATATGGAAATAATTTCAACAACGACCTCGATAAAGAGTTATGTAGACGCAATTCAATTGTAAATTCACAAAAATAAAACAAATAAAACCGAACACGAAAAACCGGAAGAATTGAGAACAAGTATTGGCGATAAGCATAATGGCCCGAAGAGCACACGGCTAGCATCGACGACATTGCGCACATTATAGCAAAAATAAACGTTTCGTCCGGGGTGCTGCCGGCCGTCAGTTACTCATGAGCAGTGGAACAGTGTGAATTCAAATTTCTTGATGCGGAAAACAGATTGCTGCAAATGTCGTGTTTTCTTAACAATAAATAACTGAGAGGGAGAAAAAAAATATAATAACAAATAAAAAAACAAAAACAAGCTGCAAATTTTTGAAAACAAGCGAAAACGTGAACTCATTATTTTTTGCAAGCTAAACATAGTTGACGTGCTGTAAATTGCGAGCAAAAAATATTAGCTAAAAGTAAAATTTGAAAATTGTTAAATAATTAAAAGAACAAAAACATTACTGAGTGCGGCTGATAGTGACGTGTATGCTCAACTATTTTTGGAAATATTTAAATTGCACAGTTACATACATACATAGGTAGCACACCTGATTCGTTCCCAACGTACGCGAAGGGGAAAAAATACGGTAAAACGTGAAAACGCAATAGACGAGTATTAAAGCAGGAGGAAGCAAGGCTGTTGGTTACATACATACATACATACATACATACATACATACAAAAATATTTTGTTCTAGAAAGCAGCGTGTTTACCACGTTGAAAACGTACAAAGCACAAACAACAACAACACTGTATACCAAAGGGCAACGACGCACAGTGTCAGTGATCGATGTCGACCCTACAAACGGTAAGCGAATTTGCAACAAAAAATAAATTTAAAAAAATAGCCCGCAAAAAAAAAAATTACACAAATCAGCTCATTCAAGTGTTCAAAGCTGGCACCTCATTATGCCATGCCATTCGCTGATAAAGATCACATACATACATATGTACAGATGTATGTATGTATTAAGGTGATTGACTTGGTTTTTCCAAACCGGTTTCCACCGTTTTTTTTTTGTTTGTTAGCTATGGGCTTTTTTTTTTAATCTGGAACAAATGCAGAGTTATACACTTCCTACCACCGAAGAAAGTTTTTTCTGGCAGAAGTACTTACACTCTGAGGTTTGCCATTGTATGCCGAGGGGCGGTCGCTATTTGAAAGAAAAAAAAACCTATTTTGATATTGCTGGGACCAAAAATTGAACCATGGACCTCCCGAGTGGCAATAAAGGGCAATAAAGTATTAAAAAAAATTTCCTTTTCCGCTGTTTTTGTTTCGGACGGGGTGGTTGTATGATGTATTTTGGAACGAATTTCCGTCATCCCTTGTCAAATTTGGTTTGGAGAACGAAAAATGACACTGAAGATGACACAACGCCCAAACCGGTTTGCCTCCAAACCAAATTTGTCAAGGGATGTAACGTGAATTTTTCACTGATTTTTATTGGTTTTACTTTTTATCTAAAAAAAAAAAACTTTGAAAGTTCTTTTTGGCTCTTTTCTAAACAAAAGCTATATTTACTGTTAATAGTTGAATTCTAATTTTTGATTATGACTTCACACCTACATAGGCATTTTCATACTATGTAAAATAAAACCGGTTAATCTGGTTTTTTTCATAATTTCAAAATCGGTAACCGGTTTTTTAAAATTGCAATTTTACGAATTACTCGAAACCGGTTTTGGAAAAAAGGCGAATAATCGAACACTCTAATATGTACCCAGTTGTTAGGCGTACATGTGCGTATGTTTTTGTTTTTTGCCTTTTTTTGGATTGGATTGGACTTTCAAATAGTTATCAGCGGCGGCGGCTCGCTAAGTGGTAGCCAAAGTACCGCGTATACATACATACTACTTTTAAGGACCGAAAATACCGGGATTCTTGGCAAATAATTCGCGGGATTTTCGGTATTTGTAATTTGCACTAATCGCAATAACAGTGTGGTCCATATTAAATATTAGTTATTAAAAAAATATAAGCAGCCAAGTAGGGGTGTCTTTTATACAGAAGAAAATTCCCAGCACCGTCAGCCAAAAAAAAAAATATTCAAAATCAAGGCGATTTCCTAGCGTCTTGAAATTTCCACTTTTACCTACTTAAATTTAATGGGCTATAACACTGCATACTTAGAATTTTTCTAAAAATTCTGAACAAAAAGTGTGAAATTTTTGGGAGTAACTGTTAAGGTTTGTTGAATTTTTTTTTAATTTTCGTACGAAGTTTGAAATGTGGCTTTATATGGTTCTATATATTCTATAAAAATTAAATAAATATAAGAAAAAACCAAAACTGTTCAAAATGTCACTTAACTTAATCAGCTGACCGCAAGGGTATAATACATAAGTAATGGGCGAGTCCGCGCCATGTCTTATCCACACGTTTGTTAGTTTTATAAAGAAAATAATTTTTACACTGAGGTTCAGTTTCCCATGGAACCTCCCATATAATACCGTGCAATAGTAAATTTTACACACAAAAATCAAAATTGCTATAATTTCGTCCTTCTAACTTTATCAGCTTAAAAAATTACCAATTCGTCCTTGTGAATCCAAAAAATTTCCTCTTTCATTTGGTACCCATACTTTTATTACATTGCGTAGAATTTAAAAAAAAAATTTTTTTGGAATTAAACATATCTTTGAAATTACAAAGTCTTTTAAAATAGAACCTGACGGAATAGAAGACGGACAGAAAAAATATAAGCGCCACTTTAAAAAAAAAAGTAGGTTTCAAACCCATTTATTTATTACTTATTTTATGGTAGGAGAGATAGAGCAATTTTTTCGATTTAAGCTGTTGAAAATTAATGTATATCAAAATCCCGAGACTAATCCCGTGATCCCGGGATTGTGATAACGACATCCCGAAAATCCCTAATACATACATACATATGAATGTACATATTTATGTATGTACATTATCCACATATATTTTTACGCACATAGTTAAAAAAAAAAAAAAATGCCGGTAAACTTGGAGGAAGGTCTTGGCTGAATTTTTGATGCGGTAAAATGTTCTCACCTTTATCTTATCTGGCTTAAGTGTGGCGAAATGTTATCAGGATTAAAGCGAAAAAGCCTATTTTATCTTAAAAGCCGTCATAAACATCTGTTTCTACGTCTTAATAGTTGAAATGCGAAAAATTATGGCATGAATTATGGCAGAATAGGTCCGATTCTCAAAAATAAAAAATAATAATGTAGATCGATAGAAATCATTGAGATGGGTATAAACAGTATACTAGTTTTTGGGGGGAAAATAACAGTTAAAAACCGATGCCTTCAAGCACGAATGGGTTTCTCGAAGAATGTACCAACATTCTGCTCATGCAGATTTTAAATTAATTTAAATGCTAATTATATTAAAAATTTGAATTCCATACCATTTCCACGAAAAGTTATTTTTTCCTCATATAAATTACAAGGATAATTTTGAGCGCTTTGAGCGACCTCTAAATATTTTTTGATTTCATAATAAAAAATAGGGGTATATTTTTTCGAAAAAGAACAATCCTAGGGTGGGGGGAGAGCATTAAAACTCCGACTTTACTTATTTCATATTTAATCAAGTAGGTGGTACCAATACTTACGCCTGATTCCAGTAGAATACATACTTTCCAATTAAACTGTTGGCGCGGTACTATTTAATTCAAAAGTACATACATACATATGTATATACATTAGTACGTCCTTATATACAAAATACAATTGCTAACAACCAGACAAAGTTACATTTCGCAAAATAATGCAAAATAATATAAATATACACATACATATTTATATGGCTGTAATATGGCATATAAAATAAATACATGTCTACACGTTAGGGGGCCTCACCAAAAAAACTGTTTACCACCGAAATTGCAAAATATATTATATTTTAAGACCTTCGCTAAAATATTTCAGAAAAATATTAAGATTTACGTGAGCTGGACGGATTTGAAGCTATTGGATATCAAATTGTTTGGATTCCGTTCATAAAATTTTTAAAGATTTTTACGCAGAATATTTTTAAAAACTAATTTTATTGATAAAAACTAGATTCAAATCGATCTTATTATATTTTATTTTTTGAAATATTTTGGCGGAAGTCTTAAATTTTATTAAAAATTTTATAGCTCTGTTGGAAAAACGTACCGATTTTTATTTTTTTTTTTAATATGGGAGTGGTACACCCTAATATACATACAATGTATGTAAGTACATATTTATAGATGTACTTTTTTGCGGCTTCTTTAAACCCCTTGCGGGAGGGGAAAATCCCATAAAAATGTTTCCACTTATTCATTTTGATTGACAACGCGAGCGCGAAGGCAGTAAAGCTATTAAATGGGAGATATGTACTAAGTATGTACATACGTATTTAAATTTCACTCCAGCAAATAAATTTTTTCATTATCAAATTATAAGCGATAAACACATTTAATTACCTAATGCATAGTTTTTATAGAGCTTTAATACTTTGTATGTAGGTACTTATTTCTAATAATAAATTTGTTGTAAATATTTACATACGTGTTTATTAGAAATTTTCTTACTCGACAAACACAACTTTGCTTATCTACACATACATATGTACCTACATTAACTCAAATTTAATATGCATAATTATCGTTGTTTAATAAGCATTTGGTGGTGTTTTATGTAGTCGGTAGTTAAAGCATTTAAATGCAATTATTTCGAGCTTATTTGGGCGTTATTTATTGACTTGTATGTAAATATATATACACAAATATACAGTAGCGGCAGAAATAATAGACTCGTCTTATTTTGAAGAGTTTTGGCTATATTCCTTTGGTTTATTTTATTTTTAATATATATTTTTAAAAGCCTGGCTAGTTATACAACAAACACCATATAAATCACCTTTTCAAACTTTATACAAAAATTATGGAAATTCGACAAATATTAACCAAATTTTTAAACTTTTTAGAAAAATGTTTGGTATGCAGTTTTGTAGCCCATTCAATTTTAGTATAATAAAGTGGAAGTTTGAAGTGGCTATGAAATACCGTTGATTTTTGAGAATTTTGTTTTTTTTTTTTTGTTGACGATGCTCGGCATTCTCTTCCATATAAAAAAAAAATTGTCGAGCACACTTTGTATGGGAGAAAATGCGTGACACCGTCAGCAAAAAGAAATCTTAAAAATCTACGGAATTTTGTAGCGAATTGAAACTTGCACTTTATTATACTAAAATTCAATGGGCTATAAAACTTCATACCAACAATTTTTCTAAAAATTTTGAATAAAAAGCTTGAAACTTTGGTGAAAATTTGCGTTCAAAGTTTGAAAAGCGGACTACCTAGGCTTTTACAAAAAAATATCAAACTTAAAATAGATTAAAGAAATTTAGCCAAAATTTTTAAAAGTACGACGAGTTTATTATTCCTGCCGCCATGGTATCTACATATGCATGTTAGGGTGGTCCTTATAATATCTTAAGTTAAATTTTGTATGCGGGGTGCCTCATTGTTCTACGTACAAACTAAATACATAAATAATAATTAAAAATAATAAAAAGTTCAAAATAAAAAACAAAAATTAAGGTTCAAAAAATAAATATTTAAAAAATTAGATTTTTTCAATCCCTCGTAGCGGCCCTAATTTTTTTTAATAACGCGATGAGCGATGTTGTGTATTTGATGTGCCACACTCATGTACATACATATGTACATATGAATACGATTACGGCAAAAGTATTCTTCCTTATTGGCGCTGTAACCGCCGAAGCGATATTGTCCGAGTCCAATTTAAGTCCTTCTCCGGTGACAGGTAACACAATCAACGGAAATAACGTCAATTGACACTATTTGCCATAGTGATGTGAAATAAATTCAATTGACGTTATTACCTTTTCAAAAGAGAAATAAAGTAAATACAAATTTGGAAATAAGGTACATGATGCTAAGTATCTCCTAATTCAAATGGAAATAGCGTCAACATTGCTTAAAGCTCAGTATATCAGAAGTGAAATTTTAAGTAGCACACAATTTCTTACACGCACGGTTGCTCGTCAGCTGTAATGAAATAAACTTTAGAATTTATTACACTTACACTACTACTGCACTTACAGTTCATCGATAAATCGTCTGCGGTATTCACCATCGCCGACGCTAACGCGGGTAAATCTTTCGCAAAATAATTATCTCGAATAGTCCAAGAGCCGCCTCATCGGATGTTGCCATTGTCCATGCCTCCGCGCCACACACCAGCACAGGCATGATGAGTGACTAATAGAGTGTGATTCTTGTACGACGAGAGAGAACTTTACTTCTGAGTTGCCTACTCAGTCTAAGGCATCGATGGGCAGAGAGAGATTTTACTCTGCGTGCGTCTATACAAAATGCATAGAAAGCTTAAAAGAGCTTTGCCCGCGGGCAAGGCGATGCTGGTTCCTAATAAACGAAGTCATCTACTTTTCCAGCCTTGTAACTGTCAACAGTGACGCTTATTGCACTGACTGTTTGTGTGATGACAAGAGATACTTCGTTTTGTCCTCGTTCACCACAAGATCCACTCGATTTGCAGCCCCCAACAATCAACCTCAAGAAGTTAAGGGCAGGGGCAAATGCAGGGGAAATTATACGATTTTTTTTTTTTAGATTAGTAGTGCCCCATTCTATTGTACATTCCATTTCCCCCAGGAGGGCCCTGCGTAAGCGGAGCTACGGGTGTTTTAATCCCGGGGATACCTCTGTCAAAGGCTACCAGTCCTGAGTCGGTGGAGGCTCAACTGGCAGAAGTCTACGGCTTTCGAAAGTCTTACCAGAGACTTAAACCTGGTATCAGAGAAAGAAAAACGAAAATTGGTGAAACGGTAAGTGTGTCCACCACACACTGCCAATTGGTACTGAAGTGCTTGCATTTCAGGGCAGTGATTAAGGCATGAATTGATCTGTTGTGCTAACACGGGCACCGTTTTGTTAAGCCTAACTGGCAGGAAATCACGATAAGTCCTACACACAGCAGTTAAGGGGTAGGCGAATTTTAAATAAAATTTTATTCGGAGGGCCTTTGCAACTAATCCGAGATAAACCTCTGGACTTTGGCGTTCACATTACTTATTGAAATTTAATAGGTTGGAATGTTTTCTGAATTGCTTTACCTTTCGCTCTTTCTATAGGAGTTTTCGTTTGGTTAGATTCGGCATACGTAGCCTAAAATTCATGCCTTATATCCCTCACTTTTTACACATATTTGAGTAACTTTCAGTTATTAGTTTTAGCCTTTGTGTACCAATGCTATCAGAATGGATAGTTGGGAGCATATTTGTTCCAGTGCACCTCCTTTCCTAGGCAGCCGTCCCTACCTAACCTACTTAGCTTAATTTTGGTATTGAAAAAGAACTACATACTCAAGCCAGCCAACCTTCGCCTCCGTCATTGATATCCTATCACTTTTCAATTCCTTAAAGGGGAGTTCCAGAAAATTTCTAATTGAATTAAGAAGTTTTTTAAAAACTTATTTTCAAGAAATATGACTTATTTAGGTCTCCTTCTTCCTGGAATGCCTAACCAATATAGATCCGCTTTTTTGCACTTTCACAAAGGGCATTTGCAGTTTATTCACATTACAAAAAAAAAAATTGATTTTTAAGACAAAAAAGGACAGATTGAAATTTAGGTTCGAACTTAAATTCAATAAAATTTGGGAACATCAACCTCACAAACTAAGCACCCGTTATTCTCAAAACACCAATATTCCTAATTTTATCACTTAAAGCACATTTTTTAGTTATCTTTAAATAAATACCAGTGAATATACTTGTAGCTACATATGCGCATACCTTTATACAATCGCTAATCACTTTTAAGCCATTAGGTAATTAACTAATTAATGAGAACAACAATCTGATTGCAGGCCTCTATCGAGGAAATTCGTGCACTTGCTGCTCGCTTGTGTCGCGATTACTTGACTGGCCGGTGGAAAACGATCAACCAGGCTGATATCGTTGTCAAAAAAATTAAGTAAGTAATTGCATCAAATTAACAAAAAAATAAAACCTTGTTATAACTAAAGTTAATAATTTTTCACAGCGGCGGTTTGTCAAACTTCCTGTATTACGTAAGTCTACCGTCGAGTGACAATAACTTCCAGTTTATCCAAGATCATTCCAGCGTAAATTTAAATGGAGAGGATTATATTAAATTAAATGGTGATAGTACTGATAATGACAGTCTCAATAACAATAACAATAATAATAATGATAATAATGATGAGCAAGTGTCATTAGCGACAAGAAAATCGACCAGTGAACCAAATGAGGTGAGTATATATTGTATATGTATTTTGAAATGCTACTTAAGTGATAAATAATAGGGCAAAATTTCTTCAAACCACAGTTAAAGAATTACGTACATATTCTATGTTTAGGTAGTGCTAAGAATTTTGTTTGTTTATTTATTACTGGCTTTGTCGTGGTCAAAGACAAGCGAGATTCTGTTGAAACAAGTCTTTCAAGAAATTGCGACTCCCAGTCCAGATCAGATTTAATGACTGTGAAGTCTTAAGGAAAAGGTTTATCCAAATTCTGCAATGCCCTCCTAATGCCCAAAGCCAATGAAAATCTGACGACAGTTTGACAGCCAGCAATCATGATTTACTATATTAGCCCTTTTAATTACTTCATGAAAAATTTGTTCCTATTAACTCTCAGAAGTTTAATTTCCTGTTGCTATACATTGGTAAAATGTTTCGAGTCCAATTCTTTTTAATTTTGTATCTTCCTTCATTAGGTCTTCTTTGGTTGGGATTTGGCTAAACTACCGCTACCCCGTTCTCTTTATGGCCTTGGTGGCCTGGAATATAATGGAATTAGAGGGTCTTTTTCCAGCTAGGCAATTTAGTTTCCCTGTACTGAACCAAAAATCCATCTCTGGATCAAAGAAAAACTTTGCTTACTTTAAGGTCGAAAACTCTTCCGAATAAGTAAAAAATTCTCCCGAATGAGTCATTTTTCTTTGGAATGTGTAAAAACGTACACAAAAATAGGGAACCTTGGATGTAATCTATCATTTTGAAGAAATATTGGGCATGAAAAGAGGATAAAACTTCTTTAGTGCTTTTTCGTTCCCATTTTTTTCGTTTTGATTGCTGTTTTTCTTCAATTAGGAGAAGTTTTTTTTGAGGGTGAAAACATGTGAAAAAAAAACCTGACTGAAGTTTGCTCGCACGCAACTTGTAATTATCACTGATACCATTATTCTGGTTAAAAGACCAGAAGCTTCACTACTTCCGATTTTTTCGATCCGTTTCTGAACCATATTACACGGTGTATCTAAGAATATATACCTAAATTAAAATTATTCTAGTTCCTTTATATTTTTACAGAGTTTCCTCTTTTCTTCTAAAGGATGGTGGAATTTAGATTTAATATTTCCCCGGAGGCGATTAGTCCGATCCGTTAAATCTTATAAGAACCTTCTCTTAACCACCCAAGATTATGTGAGGCGCTTCAAACCATTACAAACTTCTTCCCCTCTTCCTTTCCGTCCTTTGAGAAACGTAGTTCTCAAAAAATGAGAACTATTGACTCCCTTCGCATATGCTTAATTATCACTCGGCTTATACAGCCATAATAGAGTGATTGTGAATATCCACAGACCGAAAACACCTGAACGCTTCTGGCCTTAAAACCCAAGTTTTATTCGGGAATAAAAGTAATTTATAAAAAAAAACCTCTCAATTATGTAGATATATAGCTTTTGTAAGACATTTGAATGTCCTATCCTTCGTTTCTAGATTCAAACAATGTTATTAGCCAATTGATTGGAGAAATTTGTATAATAATTTTTCTGAAGAACGGTAGAACTACTTCAGCATCTGTTCGAGAAAGCTTTGCTGGGAAAATATGCCAACCGTGTAATACAACTGTGCGCCAATAGTAATAGGCTTGGTACTGTTGTTGTTATAGAAAATTGTCTAATAAAAAAAACATATATTTGACGCTTACACTTTTCGCTAAGTATTTGGGAGAGCTTCTCCTCCGATTTGTGATGTTGTTACACATTTTCTCTCCTCTTCACCAAAGCTGGGCAACTACAGAACCGCTCTACGGTTTCTTCCTCTTCCTCATAACTGCAACTTCTGCAATATTCGTGGAAGATTCGTAGTCTTCGAGAGTGCCTGCCAAATAGCCAATGACCGGTTACACAAGTCATGACCATCACAATACCTTCTCTTGAGAGGCTGAGCAACTCTTTTGTCCTGTTTTTATCTATTTGTGGCATAGTAGCCTGGTTGTTCTACAAGTGCCCTCCTCTAGCCATGATCTGTTGGCCTCTTGGATCATGTTATTTCTAAGTATTAATTTGCAGGTTTCAGTGGGTATCCCAATTATGGCTCTGTTTACACACAGGAGAGATTGTTACCTTTCCTGGTTAGCTCATCGGCCCTGCAATTACCTTCAATTTCTCGATGTCCCAGGACCCATATGAGGCTGACCTTGAATACGATGCTAATATCGTTTAGAGCTGCGAGCTATTCCATACGCAACTTTCGATCTTAGCATTACCGCCTAGCTGTCCAAGAAGATGTTAACCATAGCATAGCGTGCACTAAGGTACACAGCCACCTCTTTTATAGCTAAAACTTCTACCTGATAAATACTGCAGTGGTCCGAAGCGCTTGCTTAAGCTTGCTCGGCATGATGTTATGGTCATTAATTTGGGGCATTTGGGCATGTAACTGAGGCTCAGGCGATATCGAAAAGTGTCACATGGCATTCCTAAGTGCAACGTTCCGACAGGTCTAAAGCCATATCCACTGCGTCCTATTAGTCCTCGGCCGCCACATAGTGCAGCATAGTTTAGAACCGCCCGGTCAAACGTCTTGAACGTTGATGGCAACTTTTCTTTGTCTTTGTTCCAAGCTGTGTCGGCGAGCGGTTTGTGAACTTTGCAGCAACTCTGCACTAAGTACAGCATGACCTCCTACGTCCAATGGTATCATGGTCAATATCTGGTGCGGTAGGGTTCATCCAGGCACTGAAGGCGTCAGAGATGGTCATTTAATTTAAACTGTAGTCGATATGGGCACTGTTAAGGAAGATATTAAATAGTTATGGAAATTTCTCTTTGTCGGAGCCTACGTTAGTGCTAGGAGGTGACAGACTTTAAAAAAAGTTTTCGGATTCATACTCCTTATCGATCTTATACACATGTGTAAATATAACCGATTATTATCAATAGTTTTGATGTGTAAACATCTTTGCTCTCGGTATGGGTAAAATTTACGTTAACCTAGCGGAAAATTTGTAACTTATTTCGCTTGTGTAACCCAGCGGAAAACCTGTAGTTTTTCATTACAAACAGACTATGCCTGCTGCTGTTCACAACGCAGATATAAACGTCTACAGCTTTTTCTTGCATAATTCTAGGCATATCCACTACAGTAGTGTATTAATAAAAAGCTAGGCGGATATTTTAAAAATACTCATATTATTATCTCTTGGGTTTTTTAAAGTATGGTACAGGTCCTGGTATTGGCAAAATTTGCGTAAACCGTCATGCGTACACCAATACAAATTCAGAAGTTAGACAAATGAGAAAAAAATGTAAGCAGCTGTTCTAGCAACACTAATCGTTGATATATGTAGTTCGGAACTTTTTCCTAAATCATTTCAGGACTTGTTCGGGTACATTTCGGGACTTTTTTTGGGTTTTGGGTTGGGACTAATTCGGGGCAAGTTCGGGACTTTTTCGACTCTAGTCCCGAAATATTTTGTGACTAGTTCGGGACACAGATGTTTACACATCAAGTTCCTTGAGTACTCACGCCTTTTTTAACCCGTAACCAAGGGAAACATATTGTACATATGTATTTCCCAAAAATTTATTCCACTCATAAAGATATTGTGTAAGTTTTCAATACATAGTATTTTCTATTTTTAGAATATGCCTCAATAAGCTATTTCCATCAAGAAATTTAAAAAATATATAAGAAAAAATTACTTAAACGATAAAAACATAATTTAGGAAAAAAACAATTTTTCAGGAAAGAAATATGTTTACCCAAATTTAAGAAAAATAAATAAATACTAAAAAAATGTTGGAGAGAAAAAGTATTTTTGCGCTTAATTTATGTCTAGAAAAATTTTTCTTGCTAATAACATTAGAAAAATAATAATAATTTTTCAGGATAAAAATGTGAGGGAGATAAGAAGTGTAAAAAAAAAATTATGAGGAAAAGATTTAAAAAAAATATTAAGTTTTAAAAAAATATTTTTTAAGAAAATATCAAAATACATGGGTATTAAAAGCTATGTAAGGAAAAAATTATTTATGGACAAAAAATTTTTTTGTGCAAAAAACAATTTTCGAAAAAATTTATGGGGGAAAAATGAAAAAAAGTTACAAAATAGTTTTGGAAAAAAATATTTTATAGGAAAAGTTGATAAAATTAACGAAAAGTTAGAAAACAATTATTTTTTAGGTAAAATGAATGAAAATTTTTAGGGAAAAATTATCTTTTTACATTCAGTTATTTTTTTTAATGCATTTGTTTTTTTTTTAGCCCTCGGTGAATAACATTTTACAATTGAAATCATGAGTTCTTTCAACAATGTATCCTATAGTTCTGATAGGGTTAAGAAGCCATAAATGTTTCACCCAAATATTTTTTTTTTTTTTCAATTCCTTCCAGGTATTGCTTCGCATTTACGGCGAAGTGCATGGCGAGGAGGACGATGCTTTGGGTGCCATTATAACAGAATCAGTGGTATTCGCTCTGTTGAGCGAGCGCAACTTCGGACCCAAATTATATGGAATTTTCCCTGGTGGACGCCTGGAGCAATATATAAATGTGAGTACGACGCAATATAATAAAAATATTCGTTAAGATCTCAAAGCACACTAATTTATATGAACGTTAAAATTCCAGGCGCGCGCGCTGCTCACGCGAGAATTGGCAGTACCGAAAATCTCAAAGAAAATTGCCGAAAAAATGGCCGAAATACACAGCTTAGATATACCAATGTCAAAAGAGCCAGAATGGTTATGGAATTGCATTGAACGATGGCTTAAAACATTAAATACAATTTTGGCGCGAACGGATTGGTGAGTGTTGTGTTGAATGATCTGTCACCAGAGTTATTAATGTTTTAAAATATTAATTTTCTACGCACTACTTTTAGGGGCGACAAAGCGCCGCTTGTGAACATAGTACGCAAATTCGACTTCCGCAAAGAAAAGACATGGCTACGTTCGGTCATCAATCAGGGCCTGTATAAAGTAGTTTTCTGCCACAATGATATGCAAGAGGGCAATATACTCTATGCGAACTCAAGCGGCGATAAAGCAAATGGAACGAGGTTTGTGTAGAGCTTATCATTTTATAAAATGTTTACATACCAGTTTACATGTTATTTTCCATGTCTATTTACAAACAAGTTGCGTTTAATCGCTGGAATTTTTCCGCTCTTTCTTTTTGTATTTCCTTGTAAACAACTTAGCAATGGCACGCATGCTGCTGAGGACAATACAAATAACAGTGCAAGTATTTTGACTTGCGACAATACTATTGAACCAGATTTACGAATCATAGACTTTGAATACTGCGCCTATAATTATCGCGGTTTCGATTTGGCAAATCATTTTATAGAATGGACTTTCGACTATAGTAACCCAGATGCACCCTTCTATTATCACCGCAAGCAAAACTATCCAACGAAGGCACAACGTAAACGCTTCTATGCCGCCTACTTGCGAAAGTACAATGAAAATGTGCACAATTCTGAACCCACGCAGGCCGAGTTGGAGGGCATGGATGCCGAAGTGCGGCTATTCTCGATGTTTTCGCATCTCTTTTGGAGCGTTTGGAGTATTGTGATGACACTGGCGACCATTGAGTTTGGCTACTGGGTAAGCGGTACTGAGGTGCCTGGCTTAGAGTTGGAAATTTTAATAGACATTTTTTTTTTTTTTTTAATTTCTCCCCTACAGGAATATGGCGTGGCACGCATACGTGAATATCAATTACTAAAGCGCACATATGAGGGTGATAATGTTGAGGAGGACGATTCGTGATAACCCCGTATTGAGTCAAATTTTGAAGCAATGCGGCAATGTTGTGATTAACTGCACGTATGTACATATATGTACGTGTATGTAAATATTTGGCTGCAAGTGGCGCCATTTTTGGCTGACATGCTGGTTTTCTTTCTCTCTTGAATTGTATTTACGAATTTAAATGTGGCAAATTTATGGCTTAAATAGAACTCTGTACTTTTTTCGAAGTGAGAAATGAAGATTGGGGTAATCGATACGTTTTTCATACATATAAGACATAAAATACGCATACATACATACATACATATTTCCTTATACATTATTTACATTTACAAATATACATACATACATCCATACATGAGTAGTTATTCTAGATAAAGGCATTCATGAGCTGTGTTCTTATTTGCTTTGGTTGATTGGGCGCTAATTGGAATACTTTTTTTCCGGGTACAATGTTAGAAGAATTCGCATTTTATGTATTTATTAGTCAATATGTACATACTTGTTGATAGCTTATCAATAGGTGAAATTCCACATCAAGTTTTCGGCGTGTGATTTGCCAAGATAAAGACTTTCTTCTTTCCTAAGTCTGACGTCAAAAATATGATAACAAAACTAATGGGTTTCTTATTTATTGGCACTATAAATACTTAAGCGATTTTATTTATTTATTTTTTTTTAATTTCAACATGGCGTTCCTGCTTCTCGCGAAATCCATCTAGTCTTTAAAACGTAGGGGAGGCACTTCCCTTTCTCAACCATCACCGCCGAGCATCGCATGGAGTGAATTCGAACGCAATAACGAATGTGCCAAAGAAAAGTTTCAATTATATCTAGCAGAGTGCGCGATGTGAACAAATAGCTGTTTAAAAATTTTACGCCTCAGTAACTCATATACCATAGCTATGTACATATGTATGTATATATTTCTTCACACCAAATTTCAAAGTCATTTGACTTATGGTTCCAAAGGTGTAGCTGATTAAAAAATTTACGCCCCTTTGTCTAAATCAAAACCTTTATAAACCTCTTTCGGCTGATACCTCTATTGTGATACATATGCATCTACATATGTATTTCAACTACCTTGCTTCCTTAATACAAGTTAACTTTGCCTTTTTAATAGGTGGTAACCCTCCTTGATGAAGTTTTAAATTAAGCCTTTTCAAAATTATTTCATTTGATACTCATATTGGAATAATTCATTTTTTAAATAATTTTAATTTAACCTTATTAACAGGTGGCAACTCTATACGTATTCTAAATGTTCAAGGTTTTGTAACATTCTTGCGTTTCGCAGTCATATTTTAATATTTCATATAACTTGTGTATAATGTAATTAGATTCGAATTTTCAAATAGGTAGCAACCCTCTCCAAAAATAGAGCTAAAAACTTTCTCCTCACCAAGACGAATACTTTTACTTCCGCTTTTTTAATTTGATATAACTTGTATACAATTTAATTGAATTCAACAGGTGGCCACACTCTTTAAAATATAGCTATGTTTGACAACTATATTTTAATATTTTATATATTTTGCATATTATTTAATTTAATTTGACTTTTCAAACAAGTGGCAACCCTCTTCAAAATATAGCAGCAACCTTCTCTTTGCGGGGGCGATAATCTTTTAAAATTTTCAAATAACTTGTGTATAATTTAATCGCATTCAATTTTTTAAATATGTGGCCACCATCCTCTTTAAAATATATCTGTGGCCTCAACGTCTATAGAGTTCCGACAAAGCTGCACCCATTCTTATATACATAAATAAACTAGTATTATTATAAAGCAGTGTTTGCATTGTTCAACTTTGCGTTCAACATTTACGTTCAACTCAACGCAGGGTTGCACGGAAAAAAGTTGAATGGCTAAATGTTGGCTGGCAACCAACTTTGTTGAAAGCGATTAGTTGAAACGCCCTTCAACCAGAAATTGAATGCAAATATGAACAATGCAAACACCTTTTTATGGCGAATATTTTGATATTTTTTCATATATTTATATTTATAGCCATTCAACTTTATTTCCGTCAACCCTGCGCTGAGTTGATCGCAAATGTTGAACGCAAAGTTGAACAATGCAAACACAATTAAGGGCATAAAGCACTGCGACCTTAAGATCTATTATATAGGCCCGGCTATCTTTTCAATAGATCTGATGTCATTCAATTAAAAGGAAATGACATCAGGCTACATTCTGGGTACCTATAGGGGCTACAACCAACAACGATTTCATATGCATTGAATGGGTGTTATCGAACTTCCGAGCACATTCTTTATGATTGTCCGGTCTTAGACAAAGAAAAATTAATCCATTTTAAAGCACTAACGGTCAAACCCTTATTAATAAGGGATTCGACTACCAAGGCCCTTCTAGGATTAAATTAGGGAAGTTGAGAATGTGTTAGGCATACCGGTTTGGGATTCTCTTCAGAGGTACAAAAGACCTTTAAGTTTGCAGTGTCTCCTGTTCTGGCATACCCGTGTTTTTATCTATGTATCTATCTAATGCGGAATTATATACTTATGCATTTTTATAGAAACCCTTGATTTTCGAATGAGTTTTGGTGTCACAAAAAATTCAGCTCCGACAGCGTCTTAAAAGCTTCTTCAAATTCCTTTTATTTTAAATTAATTTATCGCTGCACTTCACTTCACTTTTCCACGCTTATGGAAACTAATTTAATTTTGAAGTGTGTTAATAAGTATATGCCATTAAGCGATTTAACCAAGATTAGCAAGTTAGATTACTTTTAGTAGACTTCATGTCCCTGAAAAAAATTAGTTATCGCTATCACTTTATTACGTTCATATGTACATTTTTTTCAGACTAGCGTACGAGGTCTTATATACATAGCATTAATAAAACTTTTGATTTCGCTTGTGAAATAATTATATACTAATATTTAAAAATCTAGGAAAATTTACTAGGATTATTTCATTTTTTACAAAACCGGTTTTCTAGTTAATCAAAAAATGGCCATTTGTAAAAAAAAAACCAGTTCCACATTTTGAAAATAAAGAAAAAACCGGAAAGCAAAAATATGTAAAAAATTTTGTTTAGATCAGAAATAAAACAAATAAAAATAAATGAAAATTTCACGTTTCATCTTATTTAATTATTTATTATTTTAATTATTTATTGCATTTTCTCCGACTTTTTTCGATTGAGTAGTAGGGCCCAGCAACATAGCGGTCGCGCCTCAGCAGACATGCTTCTGCCATAAAAATTTGAATCAAATATTCTATTCATCCCCAAATAAACTAGGTATAATTTTAAAATTACTTAGAGATTTCCCTTAAGTTGGAAAAAGCCTTGAAAACTTCGAAGAAGTCAAAACTTTTATTGAGAGGTTAAGATTTGTATGAAATGAAAAAAAAAACGATTTGTCCGATAAAAAAAAAAAGATCCGGTTTATTCGATATTCGAAAAATGAAGATTTCAAAAAAAAAAAAACAGTGAAAACCGGTCTAAACCGTTCTGAGAACGTGAATGCCGAAAATTTTTTAAATCTTGCGATGCGAAGTTCAGATCGACTTAAGTGACTGAATTGTGAATTCTATAAAATTATTTAGTGACCCTCGTAGTAATCCAATATGAAGTATTTACTTGTACTCTAAAATAGAAATTCTTAATTTTAATATATGTACATATGTACATACTTATATTGTACACGTGTATATACTCAGTGGCGGATTTATCGTACAGGCAACATAGGCTGAAGCCTAGGGCGGCAGAATTAAGGGGCGGCAAAATTTAAGGCAGCTAAATTAAAAGAAAAAAATTTATTTGGATTCAGCTGCACTTGAAATTGTGTTTGTGTCTGTAAAATATTATTAATGATTCATCTCATTCAATACAATTCAAAATTAGAATTACGCTGCGAATTTTTCCTTAGTATAGCAGTCGTTGAAATTTCCATTTAACTTTCATTCACGCGGCTTAGAAACCTGACGGCGCGCCTGCGCGTGACGCAAAGAAACAGCCGACACGCTGCCCCGAGAACGAGAATCATCTAAAATTTTGTTAATTCCGTTATGTATTTCATTATTAACGAACTATATTGTAATAAAGCACTGACAATAACAATCATATTTGATATATATATATATTTTTTTTTTCGTGAAAAAAGGGCGGCAAGTTATGAATTGCCTAGGGGCGGCAAATATTTAAATCCGCCACTGTATATACTCAGTTGTAACTCTTGAGAGCATCCACTCGTTATCACTTTCATAAAACCAAGCACTCGACAAATGCATACAGGACGTTACAAAAGAAAGTTCCCTGCAAAAGATTCGACTAATTCCAGATGACACCGGGATCGATCGCAAAGGAGCAGGTTACTAATATCACTTTTGATCTCTTTGTATGGAATGAATTTTTCACTTTTGTTCGCGCGTGTACCATGAAAAGACTAATTGTTCCCCTTTATACCCGAACGGGTATAAAAAGCGACTAGTCACACCTGGGGCTAACTGTGAGTTTTCAAGTGTACACTGAAAATTGTGTGCACTCTTCATTTTGCGATTCAGGAAGAGCGAAAATGAGTTTTAGCTGTCAAAATAAAATTGTGTATACTTCCTCATTTAGCGATTCAGCATGTGTGAGAATGAATTTTAACTGTCAAAATTGTGAATACATTCTCTTCCGAAAAACTCACTGAATTTTAGTCGGTGAGTTTTTGGATGTGAGTTTCGCACTCGGTGTACACTACGTTTTCTCACAGTTACAGAATAGAGCCCCTGCTCTCTGATAGCACTCTTCAACAAACCGAAATACATATACAAGCAGTGAAATAGAGTTGGCAAACTATCAATGGCACTATCGATGGTATCGATGGTTTTGTAAGCACTATCGATAGTTTTCACTCGTACATACATTATTCAGTAACATACATATTTCAGAGCGCAGATGCTACTTGGAGCTAAAAATCGTTGATAAACTTATGTTCCTTGAAAAATAAAATATTGTCATATTTTAGCAATTCTAATCTCATTTTCAATAAAAGTTGTTATGTTTAATTTTTGGACTGTTTTAATCAAAACTATCGATAGTACTATCGGCAGTGTCGCCATTTTCGATAGTATCGATACTATCGATCGTTGTGACTATCGACTATCGAAACTATCGATGGCCACGACGATCGATAGTTTTCCAGCTCTACAGTGAAAACCGCTTTCGGTCTCATTACGTACCGCCGCCGAATAAGTAGTAAATCGGAGTAAATGACTTGAAAATTTTTACCAGAAACTGAAATTCCATAGCAGATTTTTGTATAATGCCTGTTTGCTAAAACAACATGATTAAATTTTAAACTTACAAATTATGTAAATTTTTTTATTTATCGAATTGTTTGATACATATTTCTTATATAGCTCCAAAT